TAGGTGAACTTTTGAATGATTAATGAAGGTAGCGGAGCCCAAGTGCATCATACTTTAATGTAGATGAGAACTTCATAAGTAAGATGAAGCTGAGAGATTTTGTTAAGAGGAGTCAAATTGCATGAGAGTACTTTCTCTTCAAGTTGCTATTAATCAAAATCTGTGCCTGTTGGAACCCCATTTATTGCAAATTATGGAGTATGCAATCAGCATTGGATTGCCACTGAAAAATTATGTATCCAAATCTGGAAATCCTCGTTCAAATATTTAATGGTTTATTAAAATGACCACTAACAAACTTATTCTACCACTTCATGCTTGGTCATAGATTAAATGTGCTCATGGAAAATACCACAACACAAAGGAATTATTATAGGTAGGCCCACATCAAATCATACAAATATACTCACAATTTCGGAGGGACTGCATAAATTTGTTTGAATTTTTTATGGTTGGGGTGGGGTTTTTTTTTTTTTTGGGGAGGGGGGGAGTAATTTCCAAACAGACCAGTTTAGATGCAATGATACAGAATAGGTATAGAGGGCATTTTAAACAGGAGGCAATGACCCCACCTGGCCCCCTTGAATGGCCTTCCCCTGTCCTTAGCAAATTTAGCACCGATCTAGAGATTCATTTTGTGAGATGGATGCAAATGCAATGAGCTAAGTATCATATAATTCAAACTTCTAGTCCTTTCATATGCACATCAGGAGGCAATGGTTAATGCCCTCCTAGTAGGGCTAACCCTTTTCCTGACTATCATTCCCATACGATTCTCCAAGACCTCCCTCAGGATTTCAACATAACTTAATGCATTCCAAATGAGGATATGTGGAACGAGAAATACATCTCAATCTGTAGAACTTTGTTGCAGCACTATGTAGCAATAAACGAATAAATGTCTCATTTTTTGGGCATCTAACATTTTACATTTTCTCATCAAGTTTTCAAATTGGCAGTATTTTATCCATGAACCATGAAAGAATCAATGGACCACCTTTAATGCCAATCTTGCACTGCTCTAGCGAATGAAATGCCTTGGTGCAACTATGTGTGACCCCATTACTTCCTTTCCCTGATAGACCGTTATCATTGCTACTTTTCGATAAGCAACGGATTCTATTCACCCCACATGTCATGTGATCCTGATATATTTTCTCTGTATAAGCTTTAAAAATTTGTTCCACAATTCTATAGTCTCCTTCGACAAGCCAGCCCTACATCTACATGATCCCTGTATTGTCTAATACATCCAATCCCTCCAAAAGGCAAAAGACCATCACCTTATGACTCATGTTGATCCACTTTTGTAGGATGCTGGGAGGGATGTATAATACATGACTTTAACATCTGACATATTTGCTTAAAGTGGTTACTTTTAGACAAGAACTTGCATTCTTGCGCTTACAGTCACAGCATGTACCAAACTATCAATGAACTAAGAAATGGATGCCCTATCCTCTAGTTATTTTAAAAAAGGTTATGCTGACAAGTGACTCTTGTTTAGCAATAATTGATGTGGAATTGTGCTTAATGAGGTTTGAATCAGTTAAATTTATATGTAAATAGAATCGTCTGATGATTAATTACTGAACAATTGAGGTATCATGGTCGTAATTTTTTAAGTTTCCAATCTTATCCTTTTATATAAATGATTTGAAATCAATCCCTTTTTTTTTTATTTCTTCATACAAAAATCAAAAGCTTCATCCAAGATTTGATGACATATAAAAAAGGAAGAATAATTAAAAAAACTTTTTATTACCATAAAGAAAACAAATACAATTTCAACAAGGGTAGATTTTGGCACTAAATTTTTTGATTATTGACATAATAAATTTAAGTGGTTGACAAAACCTTTATTAACAGATGTGCAAAAATGAGGGGTTCCTTAACTTAAATGGTAACAATTAGATCATTGATAACAAGTGCCCTAGGGCACTCGTTAGCATTTTTCCTTTACTTCTTCCTTTCCACCATCTTCCACAGCTCTTTGTCGTTGCGTCCAGTTTATTATGACCACTTTCAAAGCAATGCCTAGTTAAATCGCTCCAAACTTGGTGCCAAAATGTCTTTTGAAATAGCTGTACAAAATGCTCTCTTCACTAATCCTTTTTCACTTCGTCAAATACCTAATGTTTTTACTTAATTGTATTATAAAGATCAAAGATATGATTATTGATAACTTTAATGCATGATTTGAGTTGTTTTAGCCCTTTGATGGTTATAAAAAAAGCTTCCACTTGGACCGAACTGGTTAAAATGGTTGGAGCAGCCAACCCTAAACTAATTAGCAATAAGTTAAGTGGTCTTTAAGTATATATACCAACCTTGGATGTATTTAACTTTTGATTTGGGATACAAGCCCTCAAAACCCTCCCTCACTTATGATCAGGGCTTGGGTATACAAATAGCTTGGAGCTGAATTTAAATAGAGAGACAATAGACAAAGGAATTCAGCTAGGTGACAGACCTGGCTTACTAACCACTCAAGGCCCAACTTTGATACCATGTTAGAACATGCAACCTAAAATCAGTTAGTAATGGGTGGGGTCCTTAAGTATATAAACCAACCTTGGGTGTAATTCTTGTTTCGATGTGGAATACAAAACAGTGTAGTAGTAATCTTCTTTAGGCTACTTAATTAGTCCCATTCTCATGTCGGAAGAGATGAGGTTAAAAAGATGAATAAGGAAAAGGAGTACAATAGTGGTTATGCATGTCAATTTACATTGTTAATTTTGCATGCACACGGATACATGGTGTATCATGCTAAGATGACGTAGTTGGGTATGGCAATCTAGGAAGCATGAATACTTCCCGGAAGGGTGCTTTGGTAGTGTCGAACATGTTTCCAACATGGCTAGAAGTGTCTTGAATAGTGAACTTAGTCGGATATAGCTAAGACACGGTGAGGATACGTCTAGCAAACGACCAAGATATGACCAGAGTTTTTCTTTNATCATTGATAACAAGTGCCCTAGGGCACTCGTTAGCATTTTTCCTTTACTTCTTCCTTTCCACCATCTTCCACAGCTCTTTGTCGTTGCGTCCAGTTTATTATGACCACTTTCAAAGCAATGCCTAGTTAAATCGCTCCAAACTTGGTGCCAAAATGTCTTTTGAAATAGCTGTACAAAATGCTCTCTTCACTAATCCTTTTTCACTTCGTCAAATACCTAATGTTTTTACTTAATTGTATTATAAAGATCAAAGATATGATTATTGATAACTTTAATGCATGATTTGAGTTGTTTTAGCCCTTTGATGGTTATAAAAAAAGCTTCCACTTGGACCGAACTGGTTAAAATGGTTGGAGCAGCCAACCCTAAACTAATTAGCAATAAGTTAAGTGGTCTTTAAGTATATATACCAACCTTGGATGTATTTAACTTTTGATTTGGGATACAAGCCCTCAAAACCCTCCCTCACTTATGATCAGGGCTTGGGTATACAAATAGCTTGGAGCTGAATTTAAATAGAGAGACAATAGACAAAGGAATTCAGCTAGGTGACAGACCTGGCTTACTAACCACTCAAGGCCCAACTTTGATACCATGTTAGAACATGCAACCTAAAATCAGTTAGTAATGGGTGGGGTCCTTAAGTATATAAACCAACCTTGGGTGTAATTCTTGTTTCGATGTGGAATACAAAACAGTGTAGTAGTAATCTTCTTTAGGCTACTTAATTAGTCCCATTCTCATGTCGGAAGAGATAAGGTTAAAAAGATGAATAAGGAAAAGGAGTACAATAGTGGTTATGCATGTCAATTTACATTGTTAATTTTGCATGCACACGGATACATGGTGTATCATGCTAAGATGACGTAGTTGGGTATGACAATCTAGGAAGCATGAATACTTCCCGGAAGGGTGCTTTGGTAGTGTCGGACATGTGTCCAACATGGCTAGAAGTGTCTTGAATAGTGAACTCAGTCGGATATAGCTAAGACACGGTGAGGATACGTCTAGCAAACGACCAAGATATGACCAGAGTTTTTCTTTATTTAAAAAAACAACTATTAACTATTAAAAGGTGTGTAATTTATATTTTTTTAATATATTTTTTGTTATGTAATTTATATACTATGAATGTTAATGGATGTAATGATGTTTGATGAAAATGGTGGATATGTATTTTGATCTATTTCAATTTTAATCAAAAAAATTAATATTTGCTAGGTTGTATTATTAATATTATTATAATATATGCTTTATTTTTAATATATTACAACTCTATTATTTTTTTAAAAATATATTATATTATTTTATTAAAAATATATTATATTATTTTAATAGTTATATCCTTACCATACTCGTATCCTATATATTTGAATTTTGTCGTATTCTTATATCCGTATCGTATTGGGTACGACACCCGTGTCCATATCAGTATCCGTGCTTCCTAGATAATGATTTTATGATCCCAGTGAAATTTGGTTCCATTGAGGTATTTTTGCTGAAATGGTGCAAATAATTGTAAGCGGGTTGTGGAATAATGGACAAGATGTCAAAAGTGCATGGATAAAACTACTCGGCGGAGATTTGATTTTATCACGCTTTCATCATAACATGTGTTGAAAAGACCTTGAGATACAGATCTGAGTTCTTTCTTTCTTGCATTTGTCCGTTACATGCACACTCAATATGTATAGAAACTAACTGTTAGCTTGGTTGAATCTCCTTGGCTACATGGGGTTCAAGTCTTGGTTGGGGCATGGTTGATGTGTAGTACTTATCAATAATACACACACACACACACACACACACATGTATGCATGGATACATATACTCTGTATATGTATCCTTTATACAGATGGAGTGATTATATTTTTTTAGCTTATCATGTGTAGATCAGTTCAATAGAGCAAATACTTTTTCCCCTTCTTCCTCTTGCATTCTGCCATCATATGCTTTAGTTTCCTGCTTCAACAATAAAACTGCTCTTGATCTTTCCATATGTTTATGCTGATGTTCTGCATTGTTTTGGCCCACCAGGTTCTATGGTGTTGCTTTGATAGACTAGAACTTGGTTCTTCTATCAATCGAGTCCTCCTACTGGGTTACTCCAATGGCTTTCAAGTCATTGATGTTGAAGATGCTTCTAATGTCATTGAACTTGTTTCAAGGCGTGATGATGCAGTCACCTTTTTACAGATGCAGCCCATACCAGAGAAGGCTGAGCGTTGCGAAGGTTTTAGAACATCACATCCCTTGCTGTTGGTTGTGGCGAGTGATGAAATGAGGAATTCAGTTCCCCTGCCAAATGGTAAAGATGGTTCATTGAGAGATGACTTTACTGAGCCTGCTACAGGAAACCTTTTAAACTCTCCTACAGCTGTTCGGTTTTACTCTTTAAGGTCTCACAACTATGTCCATGTTTTGAGATTCCGGTCAACTGTGTATATGGTTAGATGCAGTCCGCGAATAGTGGCTGTGGGTCTTGCAGCGCAAGTAAGCATCTTCTCATGTCTTCAGTTTTTCATTGGATGTAATTGTTTTTAATGTGCATTTTGAGAATTAGATGTGAGAAAATCATCAACTAAAAGTGTATGGGTAATGTTGGTAAGTATAGTGTGCTAAAACTTGGGTTTGGGATGATAAAGTAGATGGATATACTTGGGTAATATTGGGAACAACTTTGGACAGATATAGTATTTCTAGCAAAGATATAAATGAACTGTTCATGATGTTTATTGAACTGTCCAGAAAACCAGATAAATTGCTGCAGAAATGCTGGTAATTAAAATTGAAATGTCAAAGGACTTGTCTTTGCACTGTGTTAAAAGATTAAATAATTCATTTGATTAAGTGCCGGTGGAAACAATATATTTGAGTTTTATCATCTTTGTTTTGCTGGCAGATATACTGCTTTGATGCGCTCACACTTGAGAATAAATTCAGCGTGCTCACTTATCCCGTCCCTCAGTTGGGAGGTCAAGGATTTGCTGGCGTGAATGTGGGCTATGGTCCAATGTCTGTGGGCCCCAGGTGGTTGGCATATGCTTCTAACAATCCCTTATCATCAAATACAGGACGGTTAAGTCCCCAAAGTCTTAGTCCTTCTCCTGGTGTTAGCCCTTCTACGTCGCCTGGTAGTGGAAGTCTAGTGGCTCGGTATGCTATGGAATCAAGTAAGCAATTAGCTGCAGGACTAATTAATCTGGGGGACATGGGCTGCAAAACTCTGTCAAAATACTGTCATGAGTTTCTACCGGATGGTTCTAGTTCTCCCGTGCCATCAAATTCCAGCTGGAAAGTTGGTAGGGTTGCAGCACATTCAACTGAGTCTGATTCTGCTGGGATGGTTAGTCTTTGACACCGTTTAACAACCGAATGTTAACATGTCATTGTTTGGATCACATGCTTATATCATTTTAATTGCATTAACTATTAGAGACTTGAGCTCACATGTTAATCCCAGCGGAATTGACATTCTTAAGTATGCTTTTTTATGTGTCAGCCATCAATCAGAGTAAGTAAAATATGATGTTCTGTTTGTATCGTTTGCTGCAGGTAGTCATAAGAGATTTTGTATCCAGGGCTGTTGTTTCACAATTTAGGGCCCATACCAGCCCTATATCTGCTCTATGTTTTGACCCAAGTGGAACTCTTATTGTTACTGCTTCTATACATGGGAACAACATAAATGTATTCCGGATCATGCCATCCTGCTCACAAAATGGATCAGGCACTCAGAGCTATGATTGGAGTTTTTCTCATGTGCACCTTTACAAGCTTCATCGTGGAATGACTTCAGCTGTGTGTTCCTGTCATTTGAAAAACACTTTTCTTAGAAATGTGCCCATGTTGCATTTATTATGCACTTATGCAATGTACTTTATGTCTTTCTTATGTGACAGGTGATACAAGACATTTGTTTCAGTCATTATACTCAGTGGATAGCTATTGTTTCATCCAAGGGAACTAGCCATATTTTTGTTTTATCCCCATTTGGTGGTGAGACCGGTCTTCAAATTCAAAATTCTAATGTTGATGGGCCCACCCTTTCACCAATTCTATCTGTACCATGGTGGTCTACTTCATCATTTATGATAAACCAGCAGTGCTTTTCTCCTCCGCCCCCAGTACCTGTCACTTTATCTGTGGTAAGCAGGATAAGGCATGGAAATTCTGGGTGGCTTAATGCAGTAAGCAATGCTGCATCTTCTGCAGCAGGAAAGGTCTCTGTGCCAACTGGTGTTGTTGCTGCAGTTTTCCATAGTACTGTGTGCCGTAGATTGCAACCTACTCTCTCAAATGTCAATGCTATGGAACACCTATTAGTTTATACTCCTTCAGGTAGTGTAATACAATATGAACTATTGCCTTCAGTGGGGGGTGAACAATGTGATCCTTCTATGAGAACTGGGATAGGTTCACAGGTGCACATGCAAGAGGAGGAGATAGGGGTAAAAGTTGAACCTGTTCAATGGTGGGATGTTTGCCGAAGAGCTGATTGGCCGGAAAGAGAGGAATTTATATATGGGCTTACTCTTGGTGGACAAGAAGCTGCAGAAACAGTCATGGATACTTCTGATTATGAAGATAATGATTCTGCAGAAAAGGAGTCCATCAAATCCCATGAGCGGTCACATTGGTATATCTCCAATGCAGAGGTGCAGATGATGTCCGGCAGGATACCAATTTGGCAGAAGTCTAAGGTATTTGAAGTAGTTCTAAATCTTGGATGCTTTCATGTTTTTCTCTTTCTGATGAGGTTGTAATCCTTCCATTTATGTTCTAGATATCTTTCTATACGATGAGTCCTTATGGGTGTGAAGACGAAAATATTATGAAAAATTACACGGGTGGAGAGACAGACATTGAAAATATTCCCGTTCATGAGGTTGAAATAAGACGGAAGGATTTACTGCCAGTTTTTTACCGGTTCCACAGGATTCATCCAGATTGGAGTGGTCAGAGGTAATTCCATAGCTTCATATGTAAGGTCTGGTGACTTTAAAATTATTTGTATTTATTAGACAATACTCCAGATATGAGCAGTGGAAAAAGGGGTCTCTGCTTAGCATTCTAATTTTTGCGCCNAGGTAATTCCATAGCTTCATATGTAAGGTCTGGTGACTTTAAAATTATTTGTATTTAGTAGACAATACTCCAGATATGAGCAGTGGAAAAAGGGGTCTCTGCTTAGCATTCTAATTTTTGCGCCGGCATGTTTTTGGATAAGCCATAAGAATTTTCATCTTCCTTACAACTCCCTGTGTTTATCAAGCTTGTTTCAATTAGTGTTATTGTCGGAATTCAGGTTTAATTCTCCATGAAAGTGGGCACATCTACTGGTTTTGGGCATCTGATATTTCGTGCACATTCTGGTCAAGTGTCCTCTTCTTTGGCATGTCCACTATGTGAAAAGTGAAAACTAAATCTAATCGCACCTTGCAGGAATTTTTTGTGGTCACTCCTCAATCATGACTTCAATTGGCAAAGATAATTCTTAAGACAAGACATCCTTTTGCACTCTTGATAAACAGCGCACCCAAAATTGGTTTTTGTTGTTTACCCTTTTCTCTTCGTAGAGGAAATTTGGCAATTTTAAGATGGATGGCACAATTTGAGCATGATATAGTATTGAAAAACAAAGATATTACAACATAGGAGACATGCATACAAGATAATTGTGTAGCCATAAGATAATGTATCTGATCTATTGTTGAGCTTCATCTTCCAAAATATTGTTAATATATACAACGAAGAATCAAGTTTATACCTTTGTCTTTTACCAAATGTACATGTACTAGTCATAACTCATGTTTGAAAATACGATGAAACATAAAATTCGAGCGCCTAAAAAAATTTACCCCATTATATTAAATAATAATTTTTTAAAATACGTAATTCAATAAAAAAANCATGTACTAGTCATAACTCATGTTTGAAAATACGATGAAACATAAAATTCGAGCGCCCAAAAAAATTTACCCCATTATATTAAATAATAATTTTTTAAAATACGTAATTCAATAAAAAATTTTCAACGTACATAATATCATGTATCGATAATATTTGAAATAAAAATTATATTAAATTATAAATTAATCAAATATTAAAATAATTTGGCAGGTGATAGAAATGAATGATGTGATGTTTTTTTTTGGGGGGGGAATGTATAGGAGATAAAATTCAACTTGTGAGCTATCTATAGATATATGTACGTGTGTGTATATGTGTATGTATGACAAAGAAACTTGTAGTTTTTGATTTTCTTTTCTTTTTGTTCCCTTCCTTGTTTTTATTCTTTCATTTTTTTTGTCTAAAAATTTTGTTTGGAAGAGGAGAAGTTGCAGTTGAATATTGTAGCTCCCTAATCACTAGTTTGTTTCTTTATAGTGTTTACCTACCTTTTTCCATTCTGTCCCTCTCTTCCCCCTTAAACCTTCCCTCTTGTCTCTCTTACAATAGTTTTGTACTTTCTTCAAATTCCACATGTAGTCAGAGACTCCAATTTGAAGTTTTCAAGGAAAGTGAATGTAAAATATCTGACATATGCATAAGTTGCAAAGGTGTTAGTAATATTTTCGTTTTAAATTATAGGTTGTTAGGGGGAAAAGGTGGCAGGACATCATGAAAGAGGAACCACCAAGACACAGAGTTCACTTTAATTAGATTTTTACTCTAGTTCTTTGATAGGTATTTAACATATGCTAGGAGTTATGCTTAATACACCTATTTAAGTTCTAAGTACCTTAGGATAAAGAGGAATCTAAATTCTCCATTAGACATGGACATCACGTGGCTTTGCAAACTCGGATAACTGCTGGTATTGTATCTAGTGGAATGAAATCTTAGAGGGTTAGGGTCGTGGAGGAAGAGATGCACTATTAAGGAGTTTTTGGGGAGAATTGAACCTAATGTGGTAATTTTCCAAGAAACTAAATTGGAATTCATTGATAGGAATGTGATTAGTAGTGTATGGGGGGCTAGGTTTAGGAATTGGCTGTTTCTACCATCAATTGGGAGTTCGGGAGGTGGTGTTATTATTTGGGATGAGAGGTATGTTCAGGTGGAAGAGTCTCTTGGTGGAGATTTTACTGTTTCGATTAGAATTAAGCATATAGAGGGTTTTGATTGGTGGCTCACTAGGATTTATGGACCTAACAAACCTAGGTTTAGACAATCTTATGGGAGGAGCTAGGTGGTTTGTGGTCTGTAGTCCTAGATGATACATTGGAGACGATTTTAATGTACTTAGATATCCAAGGGAGAAGTTGAATGGGGAAGAATAAAAAAAAACATGAAGAACTTTGATGCTTTTATTAGGGAAACTGAACTTGGGGATCCTCCTTTGGCTAATGGGGCGCTAAATGGTCCAATGGTAGGAATACAACGGTATGTAAAAGTTTAGATATATTTTGTTCTTTGTTGGGTGGAAAGAGTGTTATCCAGNGACACAGAGTTCACTTTAATTAGATTTTTACTCTAGTTCTTTGATAGGTATTTAACATATGCTAGGAGTTATGCTTAATACACCTATTTAAGTTCTAAGTACCTTAGGATAAAGAGGAATCTAAATTCTCCATTAGACATGGACATCACGTGGCTTTGCAAACTCGGATAACTGCTGGTATTGTATCTAGTGGAATGAAATCTTAGAGGGTTAGGGTCGTGGAGGAAGAGATGCACTATTAAAGAGTTTTTGGGGAGAATTGAACCTAATGTGGTAATTTTCCAAGAAACTAAATTGGAATTCATTGATAGGAATGTGATTAGTAGTGTATGGGGGGCTAGGTTTAGGAATTGGCTGTTTCTACCATCAATTGGGAGTTCGGGAGGTGGTGTTATTATTTGGGATGAGAGGTATGTTCAGGTGGAAGAGTCTCTTGGTGGAGATTTTACTGTTTCGATTAGAATTAAGCATATAGAGGGTTTTGATTGGTGGCTCACTAGGATTTATGGACCTAACAAACCTAGGTTTAGACAATCTTATGGGAGGAGCTAGGTGGTTTGTGGTCTGTAGTCCTAGATGATACATTGGAGACGATTTTAATGTACTTAGATATCCAAGGGAGAAGTTGAATGGGGAAGAATAAAAAAAAACATGAAGAACTTTGATGCTTTTATTAGGGAAACTGAACTTAGGGATCCTCCTTTGGCTAATGGGGCGCTAAATGGTCCAATGGTAGGAATACAACAGTATGTAAAAGTTTAGATATATTTTGTTCTTTGTTGGGTGGAAAGAGTGCTATCCAAAGGTTAGACAAGACACTTGTCCCATTGTTTTGGTGGATTCTAAGTTTAGATGGGGACCTTGCCCATTCAGGTTTGAACATTGGGATTTTAGAGAAAGGATTAGAGAATGATGGGGTGAAGAAGGGATTCAAGGGTGATAAGGATTTAAATTTATGAAGAAGCTTAATGTGATAAAACAAATATTAAAAGTGTGGAATAAAGAGGTGTTTGGAGACATTCGGGAAGCAAAGAGAATTATTTTGGAAAGGATTGATGAGGTGGATAAAATTGAAGATGGCGGTATGGATGAGGGGTTGAAAAAAGAGAGAAGAGAACTTAAGAATAAATTTAAAGAACTAATGTTTAAAGAGGAATTAGTTTTTGACAAAAATCAAAAATCAAATGGATGAAAGAAGGTAATAACAATATAAAATTTTTTCATAGAGTGGTAAATGGAAATAGGGTGAGAACTTTATTGATAAGTTGGAACTTGATGATAGGTCGATAGTTGAGGATGAGGATTGAGAATGAGATTATTAGTTTTTTTTTGCTAAATTATATTCTAATTATGATGGACCTAGACCTATTTTGAGGGGTATTGAGTGGTGTCACATTGAGGGATTGTAGGGTGGTTGGAAAAACCATTTGAGGTGGAGGAAGTAAGGAGATCAGTTTTTGAGTGTAGTAGAGAGAAGGCCCCAAGTTCTGATGGATTCACTATGGCTATTTATTTAGTTTGTTGGGATGATATAAGAGATGATTTGATGAGGGTGTTTGAGGAGTTTTATGATAAGNAGGAGATCAGTTTTTGAGTGTAGTAGAGAGAAGGCCCCAAGTTCTGATGGATTCACTGTGGCTATTTATTTAGTTTGTTGGGATGATATAAGAGATGATTTGATGAGGGTGTTTTAGGAGTTTTATGATAAANCCCAAGTTCTGATGGATTCACTATGGCTATTTATTTAGTTTGTTGGGATGATATAAGAGATGATTTGATGAGGGTGTTTGAGGAGTTTTATGATAAGGGGGTTATCAATAGAATTACAAATAATACATTTATGTCTTATTCCCAAAAAAGCTAATTATTTGAAGTTGAAAGATTTTAGGCCTATTAGTTTGGTTACAAGTTGTATAAGATCATTGCTAAAGTCCTTTCTTTTAGGGTTAGAGAATGCTTGAATGAAACAATTTCAAAGAGTCGAGGCTTTTGTTAGGGGTAGAAAGATTATGGATCTAGCAATTATAGCTAATGAGGTTGTGGAAGAATATAAGGTTAAAAGGAAAGAGGGATTTGTGTTTAAAATTGATTTTGAGTAAGTTTATGATCATGTGGATTGGAGGTTTTTAGGTTTTGTAATGGAAATCAAGGGTTTTGGAGGGAGGTGGATGAAGTGGATCAGGGGTTGTTTGGAGTCCATAAACTTTCGATGATTATGAATGGGAAACCAAGGGGTAATTTTAAGGCATACATGAGACTTAGACAAGNATGGAAATCAAGGGTTTTGGAGGGAGGTGGATGAAGTGGATCAGGGGTTGTTTGGAGGCCATAAACTTTCGATGATTATGAATGGGAAACCAAGGGGTAATTTTAAGGCATACATGAGACTTAGACAAGGGGATCCTCTATCACCGTTATTGTTTACTTTGGTGGTGGATGGAATGAGTAGGTTGATGGAAAGGGCAGAGAGAAGTAGTTTGGTTGAAGGATTTGTGATTGGAGGGGAAATAGTTGTGATATTT